CCGCCACTCACTGGCCATGGCTGCCCGCGCCGCCTGCATCCCCCCGCCGCCCCGGCCCCCCCCTCAGGGAGCGGGGCCGCCCGCCCGGGCGCCGCGGGCTGCTGGGAAGTGTAGTCCCGCCCCGAGGGCGGCGGGGCCTTCCCCGCTCCTCCAGTGCCCCCTCAGCACCCGGCAAGAACACAGCCCTCCATCTACACAAGACAAGGCGTCTTCCCAGCCCCACGCCATCCATAGCAGCCGTGTGTTTCTGCAGGGCTCGTCCCAAGAGCTCTGTGCCCGGCTACAGGTAACTCGTTCACCTGCGCATCCCTGCACATCCCCATCGCCACCTTCTTTTACCATTTTCTAAGGTAGAAACCAATATGCTAACTGCCGTGCTGTTCTTGTTACTAGCTTTAACCACCGAGCGCTCCCCGTTACTCAACATAAAACATTCCTGCCTCGTGTGTATTTTACAATCTTGGGCTTTTTAAAAGCATGTCTGTAGAACTGCAGATTCATGTTGTTCAGAGGCCGGCACCTCTTGCACAGCATTTCTCATGCAAGACTATCTCCGCACAGAGCGGAGACGCACACGTGACAGCAGAAGGGGCCAAGATAAAACAAAGTGGGTAACCCAGGGTGATCAATCTCTTACACGTGTTGGGCTGAAGCCGCTTTCAGAAACACGGGCCGAGAGATAAAGGATGGGAAGTGCACAGCCACCATAAAACAGACCACCACCGCCGCGTGCAGCAGTTACAAGCCTTCCTTCAGCAGAAACACTGTTCGATCTGCCCCTTGGAGCTCATCCCAAACCAAGCAAGCCAAAGGACGGCACAATTACCAACAGCGGACAACCGCAGATGAGGAGGGGATGCAGCAGCTCTTTAGTAGAGCTCCCTCCGTTTTACATGTGCCCATGGTAGTAGAAACAGCATATATTAACTTTTTTTTTTTTTTTTTTTTTGAAGAGCACACCTTGCAGGGCTCCAGGTGCAAAGAACGGCTGTCTCCTGAGTTCACACAAGGTTTGAGGCAGGGCACAAATTCAGAAAGAGAATAAGCAGTGAAGCAGTATCATCCCTTCAAGGTGAAAAGCACAGGCTAAAAATCCACTGTTTCCCATGCTTCAGAGAGATACAGTATATTTTTCCAAGTTTCAGAACAACAATATCCAAAAGCACTAAATACACCCAAAAGAACAAGTTGCATGCTATCACCCTCTCCCTCCCAAAAAGGAGAAACTTTTCACCCATTTAGTAGACTACCCCTATATTGAAAAGGTTTTTGACAGTATCAAAAGTTTTGAAACTACAACTGAAATGCAGTGGGAAGAAAAAGCTACAAACGCTGCTGACACCTTACACACAGGTGTAAGGCCTAACAGAAACTAAACTAAAAGAGCAGCAATTAATCTTTACTTGCATATAGAGAAGGCAACGTAATAAAAACTGCATCTGCACAGTCAGAGTATTTTTGATGGATAGTACTTGTGAAGTTCTGCACAAATTCTCACACAGAAGCACTGACCCTGGCTATTAAACACAAAGGTAAGAACTTCCATTTGGCAGGAAACCTTACTCTGAAGAGTGTTTCTTTCCTGCTACAGACCTCATTTCTATCACCAAAATAAAGAAAAATAAAAATTAAAAACCCTACAACATAGCAGCTGTCATCTTATATTCAACAATATAGACAGCAGTGCATACAAACAAAACAGGAGCCTGCAAACCTAAAGGGACCAGAAGTAGCATACTGACTATTTTGATTTTTCTTTTCAAAAACCATCACTCCAGTACTATAATTGGAATTTCTGCTTAGCAGTACAAGTTTTGTAGCAAATACACAAACTACAGATATATACACTGAGGCAAAAGTAGCCTTTAAATTGTGGGTAGAGATGCATAAAACACCATTGAAATTATTTGTAGTTCGGCCTGAGCTTTGTAAGATAAGGAGTCTGTTGATAACTTGCACATTGCCTTAAAAATTACAAATAATCAACCTCTTAATGGCTTGGATTTTACGTTTCTACACAGAGGAGATTTAAGAACTTACTGTAACTTTACTTACTATAGATCTAAAAGGTCTATATTTGTTGTCCTCACAGAGAAGCACACACATTACCCACTTCCCATATTTAATGCCCAAATACACCTGTTTAACAGAGTGAACTCTTCACTACAAGTAATTAGATTCTTCAAGATATCACTTTAAATACTTCAGCAACAGATGAAATAACTATTTCTCAGTTCTCCCCAAATCACGTTCACAATTCTCCCCCTCCCAATAACTAGCAGAAATGTGTTGTATCATTTTGCCAACATTTTCATAACATAAAAATACGATGCTGAGAAGTCTGGAATTTATGCAGAGACTCTTTCTATAATTTGACCATTTGTTAACTCATTTTGACCTTTCTATGAATGCTTACTGTGGCTCACCCAAAAGTATTTAATGAAATTAGTCTAAATTCACATATACTTACATTAAGACGTCACTGACAGTAGATCACTATGATCCATAATCAACTTCTTTCACTCCAAAAATCAAATTCACTTCCATATACAAAATACCTTTAGGAAAAACTGTTAATTGATTCAGAGAATCCAGACAGTATGGAACTAAATGCCTTTTGACAGAACAAGTTATGTTCAAATTGTACTGGTTTATTTACAATTGTAGTTTATAAACAGTAACACAAACATCTTTACATGAAAAAAATCTCATTGCTAAAGTAGGCACAGAGTCAGAGACTCTTCAGGATATTTGCAGAAGGAAGTAGGAAGAGGAAAATGTAATACAACAGCTGCTGGGCAAAACTATAAATACATGAGCATTGGCCCAGGTGCAATTTCATGCAAATATTTTCAACCGTTCAAGTTCTATTGGTGTTTACTCAGATACTAAGAAAAGAAAAAAAAAAAAAAAAAAAAAAAAAAAAAAAGGAATTAGTTCCAGAATTAAGGTGCCCTAGCTTGATTCCTAGTAAAATAACTTAGAATAACTGTTTTTTATAAAGGTCAGTTTAATTTATTTTACCTCTTGATGATGTACCAATTCACTCACAGGTTTTTGAATCAAATATTCGGAAGACTTCACACAGCAAAGCTAATCCCTATTATCTTTATTTCACAGTTTTTGGTAATTTCCACATCAGCCTACAAAGATGCTATGCCTCAGCCACAAGGACATTCCCATACTGAGCTTTTTAACAAGAGAATCGTTCTTGGAACAAGTGGAAAGCTGCTGATAAACCACCACATAGTTGCCATCTCTCAAACATTAACTGATTTAGAAGATGTTAGTTAAAAGAATATAAACAAATGCTTGAATCAACGAAGGCAACAGTTAATGAATACATTTATCACAGGTATACAGCACTTGAATCTCTTCACTTTATTTGTATGTGTTAATTTTCTTGCTGAACACACCTCCAATCATACTCCAATCCATACTCACTTCTGTGCTGAACTGAAGGTTTTTAAAGGTCTAACTATAGACAATGTTGTTTCTGGGGAGCAAGGTAACTTGTTTTCAATTGTCATATTCTGTCATGAAGCATTAACTTCAATTTCAATGCACACACTCATCTTTACAAGAGAAACAGCCTCAACCTATGAAATGTAAAATTTTGCATAATTAAAAAAAATCACAACCCTGTAGTAAAAGCTTATTGCACACAGTTCATTTTGGTATTTAAAAATACCCTTACCACCAATTCCAATTATTTAACCTAGTAGTGGATAAGACTTTTAAAAAAGTTAAACGGAAAAAATGCTAGCCATTTGTAAAATTATCTGCAGCACAAGCTGGACTTAACCATTTTTAATGAGAAAGAACCAGTATTTCTAAGATTTTTATCTGCTCTGCTCATAAACCTAACTTTTTAATCAATCCTTGCTACTACCCAGTAGGCAAAAATCAAATTTATAGACTGTAGGCAACGGAGACATTTTACTTTCAAGGGACGGTAATTTAAAAACCATTCCGTTTTCAACTGCTGCTCCGTATCTGGCAGTGCTTCATTCCTTTAACACACTTAATGCGAACCCAGCTGCATCTTCTCTTGAAAGATGCAGATCACTCACATTAAGGTTGTATTAAAAATAAAACAAACTGACCTTTATAATAAACATTTCTTCAAAACAAAACAAAAAAATAATTAAAAAAATTAAAAATCCTGTTCAGAAATCGATAATAATTTACCCTATCTTAAGCCTGCTACTCAGGCACTCCCATCAGCAAACAGAAAAATTCTCTTAAGTTAGTATTCAGTTGGGAAACAGTCATCTTGTGTCCACATACAGTATCTTGGTTGCTTCTTCTTTATAAACTGTTCTCTACAAAGTCTTTAGTTATTAACTCTCCAAGGCATCCAATACTTTCATGATCTGTTGTTTTATGGCTTTGGTAGCATCACCTGCATTTGGAATCAAATACCTTAAAAAAAGATTAGAAAAAGGCATCATTAACTCACTTTAAAATTTTTGAGTATCAATTCCATAACTCTTGTTTTGATTTCTTCCTCTGACACAAACTAGGAGGAAGGAGGGGAATATATTAAAATGAGAAACTACTGAGAAATTAGCATTTATTTCCTGTTTATACGATTAAACACTTTCCATTTGTGAACTTAGAACTGTTGAGGAGTACTTCACAGGCCATCCTGGAAAGATAAGTTCTTCATTAATTGACAATGGTATACATCAGGCAGTTCAAGATCTCTCCAGATAGCACTGTCCAACTGAAGCACAGCAGTCCTCGTTTTTGCTTTTGTTTGCTTGTTTGTTTGTTTTTAAAATTCCTACAGATAGCTCTAGATCATTTATTTACGATCCCTTCTCTCTGGATTTGCTCCAGTCAACAAGGTGGTGATGAAGTAATTCAACAAGCAGCAAAGTTCCCTGCAACTTTTTCGTTTCTCTTTGTCTAACCTACTACCAAACGAATTTCATTCTAAGCAGCCAACAGGCATAGAACAACTTCCCTGATTAGCTAGAAAACTCATCTCCCACTTCTTGTGAAAACAGAGCACCCACTGCACACAGTTCTCCCCAAGGAAGAGGACAAGAAAATGTCCAAGTGATGTCAGCAACTTTGTTAAAACAGTGCCAAGAAACAACAGGCTACACCAGCCCAATATACTCATCCCTCTGACTTCCCCCCAGTCTTAAGCATGCAAACGCTGAGCATGGCAATACCTAACGTTCCGGAACCAGGTTTCAGGGGTTCAGAGTTTTGAGGTTAGGCTTCTGGGCTCCTTGTACAATACACAGGAAGAGTCAGATGTCCAAAAAAGATACCACAGAAGAAAGGCCACTCTCTTAAATCTCACTCTTCACGAATCCATACTTTAGGCTGCAGATAGCGCTCTACTTCATTTTCATTTAAGACATATTACAAAAAGAAAACACTTGCACATATCCCATCCCCCAAAACTGTCATTGCAGACCATGGAGTTCCTCTCTGCTGCGTCTTGTAAACTCTCCTCATTCTGCTGGCAGATCTTTTTTCTAGTTCACATCTGAATTATCTATTCCTAAATAAAAACTGTTACTTTTGAACTCAATTCTGTGAATTACAGCATGCCCCTGATTTCCAGTTGACAGCATTCTGTATATCATTACTACTTACATCTCTGCTACTGAGATAGCTTACCTTTCAACTGCCAAAATTTCTATGCCTGAAGTATTGCTATTTCCATATTTAAAGGTGATCAGTTCCGGATGTTTCTTCTTGGATGTGATTTTGACTACAGAGTTGAGTGCCTGTCGAGACTGTATGTAAGCCAGTCCCTTTCGCGATGGAATCTCTCTCAAACAGTACATATGAGTTGCTGTTACTAGGAGATGACTTGAAGGAAAAGAAAAATACAAATTATATTTGCTAATGAACTAAATATCAGCTATTTAGAAAGCTCAATTCAACAAACAAGCTACACGGAGAAAACTAGATAAAACAGCTCCCAAATCTAAGAAAGAGTTTTAATACTTTTAAAATCTGTAATTTAGAAAGGTCTACAAAATACTTCAGCTTTTCCTGGAGTACTCTATCATAGCCATTTTTGAAAATAAGCATGGCACCCCCAACAGCATACAAAACCAGAGTAGTTAACATCACCTCAACACAACAGCCATGAGTGCTATCAACAAAGATCAGAAGCACCAGTAACGTGTCAGGTCACACACAGAGCAGGGAAAATGCCACCAGCCTCTCTCTTTCATCCTTCAATCATACCCCAACCCCATTCCTCCATCTACAGAATGGCAACTCTACATGTGGAGCACCCGACGTAAGTTAGAAGGACGTGCTGGCACTCTGTGATTGTCAACCACTGGACAAGGACTAATGTGGAGACGCTGACCTGCCAGCTCAGTTCAAGACCCACTTTTGCGTTCTTCATGGAAGGAATGCATGTTCAGCTAGTGGTGGGAACACACTAGTTGAGTTCCAACTCAGTTTGAGAAATCATACTATGGCAGATTACCAATCATACGCCATATAAAATAAATCTAATTGGAAAATAAAATTAAAAGACAAGAACAGACCATGATGCAAGAAAAAACCCATCACAGTTTTCTGTTATCCTGATTCAACAGGATTTCTGCTCTTTGGGGAAGCCAAAATACAGTAAACATCATGTTCTGCTCTTGCAGGATTAACAAGGTCACTGAATCTTAGGGGCAAGATGGGTGCATAGTACCAGTCACAGAGACAAGTAGACAAGAAAAGCCAGAGCCACAGGTACTTGGGTCTACCTGGTCTTGAAAAATAAGCCTATGCATACTGAGAATATTTTTCTTACTATCTTGTTTTGCAAAGCAAAACTTCATACTAGGTTTTGTACATAACTACCATTCTATTACACTGCAAATATAAGAATGCAAATATAGTGGTAACGTTTTGTTTTAGGTTGTTTCGCACCTTCATTTCCTACTTTAATAGCAAGAATAACTTAATTGCCCAATATTTTTTTTTTTTAAAATGTGTACCAAGACAGACATTTTCATTAAGCTTAGGACTAATTCCAGTACCTGGGAAACATATGTCCATTTTCTTTTACTTCGTTACAGGGGAAGTTATACTTCACATCAGGTTTATTTATCCATGTTTGGATGTTGACGACCTCTTTTCGATCATCATCTGACATTGAGGAGCTATCAATTTCATCTATTTTGAAGGGAGGGGGTAAAAAAATAAAAAAAAGAAACGAGAAGATTTTCACACACCATCAGACAACTTTTCGACTCACTTAAACCCATAGTAGCTACACTGGTTCAAACCAAGGTCCACCTAGCCCCCAAGAGTGTCCATAAACAATTGTTCAGAGGGAAGAAAGCATAAGGCATGTATATCTGATGTTCCTCTTTTAATTCTCTCTCAGCAGACAACTATTTTCAGCTCAGAGGATTTCTTAGGCTGGTCTGATTTGTTCATTCAGTAAAGTTTAACAGATCTCTCTTACATGGACTTGTCCAGACTTTCCTTGCAGCCATGTAAACTTTTTGCATCTACACCACCAATAAATTTGGCAAGGAGTACAAAAACCATGTCAACTATGTTCCAGGAAAGATTCCTCTTGTGGCTTCTCATTTCTTGTACAAGAAGAAATAAACATCTGTTGATCCCTGTCCAGGCCAGGCATTATTTTTGTGGGCCACTTTTCCTCCCTTAAATTGCCTGTTTCACATAACAGAAGTTCTAATATTCAGTTATGCCTGTTATGAAAGCCATCTCGCACCTTTTCTCACCCTTTTTATCCCTCTCTGAACCTTCTGTTCAAACATATTGTTTCTGAGGTAGAGGATCAAGACACACAATATCCAATGTGTGGGTGAACCATAGGTTTAATACAGTGACATAATGACCTCTGTTTTATTCTCTGTTCCTTTCCTTATAATTCCTAGCATTTGATTTGCTTTTCTGACTGCTAATGAGCACTTACTTATTATAAACCTGCTGCTCCTGGACACAGCCAAATCAGTCTACCATTTTGTATCTGAAACTAGAACCGTTTTTTTTTTCATGTCTTTCTCACCTCACATTAATTCATACTGAGTTTCATGTGACATTTTATTGCCCAGTCACTCAGACTAGGAAAAGATTCCTTCAATTCTTCAGTCTGTCCTTGCTACCTTGAATAACCTTGGGTCACTAGCAAAAATTGTCGTCTTCGGCTTCACCTCCTTTTCTAAGGACATCCAAGAGATTTTCAGCACAGACCTCTGTGAAACACTCGAAACTCCTGCAAGTGTTATCACTTAGTTGCAAAATATTGGTTTTATGTCCAAATATGGTGATTATGTTTACATAGTAATTTTGGTGCTACAATAGAAGAACTTAAGCAATCTAGTTATCTAAAACAATGAACTACATTAAATCCATAGAAATTACTCCCAGAATAACTTAGAAGGATACCTCTTTAAAATGTCTTTTTCAAAGCCAGTTTTCTACACTTTGTTAAACTATTTATTTCAAAGCAATTCAGAACTATAGCCACATTTTTGAAAAGGTTTTCACTGAAAAAATACATTGTGCAATTAAAAGGAATGGAACAAAATCCATCCTCATTTCACAGAATCACAAAATGGTTGAGATGGAAAGGACCTCTGGAGGTCATCTGGCCCAACTCTCCTACTCAAGCAGGGTCACCTAGAGCAGGTTGCAATTATTATAGCTGATTGCAATTATTTACCACAAAACCCCCACTAAAACGTCACAAAAACAATTATACAGAAACAGGTTCACTTTTTGCATTCTTCTGTACCAAAATAACATATATTTCACTTCCTATGTCTTGGCTTCGCTTATTCAAATCAGTGCTGTGATTCTGCTTACTTAGTAAGTCTAACAGTGCTTTCAAAAGCAGCAAATCTAAACAGAAATTAGCAAACAACCATTACTGAAAGTATGGTCTAGACAATTTGCCTTTGAGGACCTGGTTTTCTGAAACCACACAGACTTTGCCAAACACTATTATGGATGCTCAAAGAACTATGCAAACTTAATTACATGGCATTTGGAGAAGTATCTTGTTAGTGTTAAAGCTTCTGCCTGATAGTTTCATTTTGCTCCTTCCCAATTCTTATAGCAGACAAACAACGATCAACTGTTTGTCACCAAGCTTTTTTAAACAATTCTAGATCCTATGAATCTCCTTCATTAATCTTCCTAAATTGCTTTTTTTCCAGGTCAAAGATTCTTAGTCTAGTTGCGTTTCTCGCAGAGAAGCTGAGTATGCCTTTTGATCACAGAACAGTTACTTGTGAGATGCTGACGGTTGGGAGTGAGCTCATACTACCAGAACAAAACCAGGACAGCAGTAGGTCTGCACCATTCTAGCATTAGCACTAGTCTCAAAACCAAAACCTTTGTGAAAAGTCTGGTGTTCCAGTTTTGTCTGTAGATTAGATTTTCAACTAGATAAAAAAAGTAAAGAAAAATTGCACGTTTTTTCTATAGCATTCTGCAGGCACATAAAGAGATGAATCAATTATAAATAGATTCAATGCAATCTTAGGTCTAGCTCCAACTATATTTTCAGAAATTCAGATCGTTATACTAACTGCCAATACTAGAGATTCAACCTGAGATCTATCAGCTAAACTAGGTCCTTTACATTTTGCTTGCTGTTGTGAGTAAGAAAGGTACAATTGCAGGTTTACACGTACAAGACCAGTGTAGAAAACCAGATCTTTACTACAGAAATAACAAGTGAACACAATGATCCACTAAATCAATCTATTTCCATTTCTTCCTGTTGGCTATTTGGTGCCTACCACAAAATCTTTTTAATTTAGTCTGCCACTACGTATTTGAAGAGGGTGTTTGTTTCTTGATTGGTCCTAGGCACCACCACAACAAACACGATCAATGATAATCGTTAGAAAAACATCACATTGTCAGACAGAGATGTAAGATACACTCTTATGATTTAGCCAAACTTAACAATTTTGTCTAAATAAGCTAATCTAGGTAGGAGGAAAATCTACTGTACCAGTATCGTATTCTTCTTCATCTCCGATGCTGAATACTGGTTTCACACCACGGTAGGGTTTTCCCACTCTGTCACTGCTGCTGACATGTCTGTTGGCAATGAAAAGGGCAGAAGAAGACATGGGATGGGAGAAGAAAAGTAACTTTCAAACTGATGGTATGATTCCTACAATAACATACTAGAAAAATATAAACACAACTGTGCAACTGGGAAAGACAAGAGAATTTCATGAAGCTGCCTGCAAGGAAGCTGTGAGTGACCCATCGAGCAATTTGGTTAGTGAAAGGATGTATTTCACAGTTACTTGGCAAGGCTGACTGTTGTAACAAAGTGAAAAGAAAAGTGAAAAGTCACCTTCTCAAATGGCAAAATACATTAGAGACCTGAAAAGTGACACCATGCTATAAAGTTTCTAGCATGAAACTGAAATATTTCTGGACAGTCAGCGCAGCTTTACAAGGATGCCAAATTGGGAAGGAGGACAAAAATGAAGACTATTAACTAACATACCTGGAAGCTCATTTTTCTGGTTAATTCCTCAAAAAATAACAAAATACCTTAAGCATTTCAAAGTGGGGTTATTATAAACCATCCACTTTAGTGTGAACTCTGACTTCAGCATGAGCCCAGTCCTGAAATCTTTGGTCAAGCAATTCCTACCACTAAAATCCCAGCATCACTGGGATTTCTGCACAGATATTGACCTCAAAAAATCACATTTAAATCTGTTTTTACAGATCATATTAAATGACACAAACACACACAACTGAGGCTTATTTGACAGTAACATTTGCAAATCCTGAGATATTTCAAAGCTCCAGCTCAGAGTGCTGTCATTACACGGTTACAGCTGTCATGTTAAAAGTTCTGGCCCTCAATTACTGAGAATACCTGGAAAATATGAGAAAACCTAAAGGTTCAGAAAGCCACTGAACAGGCAATTGCTGAAAAAAAATAAACAGTTCATGATTTTAGCCTTTAGAACTGGCAACAAGTACTTAAAAAAAACCCACAAAACCAAAACACACCTGTCCCTTTCCCCCATTTCAATTTCTGTAACCTCCCTCCCCATAATGTGCATTCATATTTCCTATAAGCCCTGGTTCCTGTTTTAAGTATATTCACAAACTCCAGTTTACATGCTACTGTAGAACCAAGTTGGAGAGGCAACCTCTTTAGTAATTTATAAATGAATGCTAGTACTTATGTATACCTGAAAGCATATTTGAAAGTTAAAAAAGAAACCTACATTTTCTATGGCTAAAATTTACTGATGTAGACAAAACAAGGAAATGTTTAACAGAAAAAAAAAGAAATGCATTCTACAGTGAAACAAAAAATAAACATACAAAAACATGCTCGTTAGTGTTTAAGACAATAAGCATCAATGACACTGACAATTCAAGAGGGCAGTGCTTCTATAAGGAGACTTGTAAATATGCTTTAGTAATACATAACCAATTGAGTAAGAAGCAGCACATTTAAATAGTGTCAAACTGAATTACACAGGGAGAATTTAAGAGAAGATCTCATTGGTGTTTATAGATCAAAGTTAGTCAAGACAAGAGAAAGTAAAAAGCTACTTTATAAAAACCTGGTAATGTCTTAAACTAGAAATGGATGTCCTTTAACCTGTTTGCATGGAAGGCCATCATTACATTGTTACAAACCGAACGCAATTCTTTTTAGTGGCAAACCTGCAAAATGAAATATATTGGTGATAAACACAAAGTGGATCTAATTGAATGGATGGGAAAAGAATGCCATTCCAGGTTTTCAAGAGCTGCAACTTTAAGAGAATAGTCTAGTGATCCATAGTGTGAGCAAATTTATTATTGCATCTTCCCAATAAAAGAAGATAAGCAATATGAGTGAAAGGAGCAAGTAAAATAACCGAAGTATAATCTCAATATATCAAAAATTCTTGGTTACAAATACAGATTCAAGTGTCTAAGTGTCTTTCAGTTATCGAACAGTCACCAACTGTTTTAAGTTGGAATTTTAACACTTTTGTACCATATTCTAAAAACTGATCAACAAAACATGGGGAGAAATCCCCATGATCTTTAGGATTTCTAAATTAACAAAATATATTATGTGCTATTGGGATATCCCCACTTTTCTTTTCTTTTTTTTTTTTTTTTTTAAAAGAATACCAGTTAACATTACTATTGGTTTTGCTCACACAACACCATTCTGTGATGCTTATGGGTAAAGCCTATCTCAAAGTATGTGCAAACTACTTGAAAGAAGAATTGGTCCAAAAATCCTCAAAAACCCAAAGAGCGTTTTAAACCTTCATTAATTCTTCCAGCACCAATCTTCATGCTTTTCAGTCTATGAGGGTCAAAAGGTATAACACAGAGTTCCTAAAGTATAACCAAAGTTCCAAAGTCATTACGCATGAGCTGTCCTTCATTTATCACAAGTAATTTTATATAATCTCAATTCACAATTTTTATTTCTTAAATAATTATAAGGCAATAAATCTGAGACAAATGCGAAGAGACTCCAGATTTGTGTGAAACACAGTAGTTATGTGAACAAGATATTTACTTACTAACTCAGCATTTTTCTTTTCCCAGTAATGAGCATCTCTGTTTCTATCAGCATATTCTATCACCATGTGATGAGAAGCATAAAAATTCCAGATTTCCAGACAGAATTTCTGTATGGGTTCCCTGTTATATCTAAGCTCTGATGATGCTTTATGAACAGTTTATAACAAGTCCTTTTCATAGTTGTAGTCTCTCTTGTTAAAACCTTAAGTCATAACTTGTTCAGTAATGGCTCCTGGTGTCTTTCACTAGTACAAGTCACTAATAAAATGTATATAGGAAATGACAAGTAGAAAAAAAAAGTCCATAAAAAGCAATAGCAAGGAAGAGAACAGAAATAACGAAGCAGAAACTAAGGGAAGAAAGCACTGCCAATACATTCTTTTTCTTCCTCTAGTCCCCTGACCAGTACTTGTAAAAACCAATAGCTTTAATATATTCAAAAAACCTAAATGAATATAAAAACATGCGAGCAACTTTGTCAGTGTAACCAATGCTTACAAATATTGCGATGCCATGCCAAATACGACAAAGGTGGTTTTAGTCAGACTGCTTAATTATCAAGCTTACCGCTCCAGGCTTGCTCTGTCTGGCCAGGGAATATTGAAAGGTATTCTACAGTACAGTGGGGCAGAGGACAGAACAAAGAATTTAAAAAAAAAAAAAAAAAAGTATAAAGGAAAAATCTAGATAAATAATTGAAATGCTCTATATTGGTAATGTATCTTCAAGGAGGATGCTTATAAATAAAAGCAATGCTTCATGACAGCTAGCCACAAGGTAGAGAAATATTTGTAAAAATTCTACTAAAAGACGCATTTTTCATGCTATGTATGGCTTACATTTAAGCCTTACTTGAATTCTTCACACAACAAAAGCTACTACCAAGTGCTATTTAAGAATTTTTTGCCTCTAACTGTGAAACAATAATTTTAAAAAAATAATTTTCCAACCCAAAAAGAAGCAACAATCTGTACCTTTTGATTAGGTACAAGACTACTAAAAACTACTGTTTGTTTGGCACGTATTTTAAATCCTGCTATCAAACAAACACTAGCTCTGTAAGATTCTTGAATACCAATGTCTTAGCAACATATAACTCCAAAGGCTGCATTTTGAAGAACTCTGAAATAGGATATTCAATTGAAGCTTTCATAGATGAAAGCTGTTATTCTTGTATCTAGTTAAGGTAAGTATTTAGAATGAAGACTTCCAACTTTGAAAGTGTCTTTTAATATGTTTGCACATTCTCATTCCCAGCTCTACTTGAAGATACAAAAAATGAACAAGAGTGGATTCTGGGTTTGAAAAGCAGCTTTACATCAGGACTTGAAAAATCAAGATCTTCAAAAAAGTTAACCTCAACGTGACAAGATGGGGCAGCAAAAAAAACAAAACAGAACAAAACCAACCAACCAAAAAAACCTATCCAGAATCTGTCATTCACCCATTCCATTAGAGTTAGGATGGGGAGGAACTGAAATAAAAGTGAAATCATTCTTGACTTCTAGACTGAATACAAACCCAACACATTATATGAAGTCAAACTAACCATGCAGTGACAAATTCTAGATAAACATTCCAGAGAAAAGGCTGCTCACACTAGCCTTGCAATAGTAAGGCAGCACAGTAGGCTTACTGTGTCATGATACAATTGCGAGGAGGGTAGGGGTAGTTAATCTAAAAGTTGAAACTGGAAGATAACTGTTTTCCTAATTAGCACAGTCTTCACATTTACAAATAGCCATCTGAAATGGGAAGTCATTTGTCACTGCTAACTCACAGTGAGATATAAATGACGTACCTGTCCACTGGAGTAGATGTATTTTCAATAAAACTAATAACTTTTTCTTTCACATTCACAGATTTAGTCTTCAAAGCAACCGTCATTTTATTCACCAGGGACTTTACTCCTTTTCCATCACTTGAACCATTAGGAGAATCACCCTGTAAAAATAACTCCTCTCAGGATTAATCATATAAAAACAACGTTATTTCATCTCTAGTTTGTTAAGAAAGGAAACAGACTACAAAACAGTAATCATCTACTTTTTGGTACTCAGTAGAACACTAATTACCGCATTAAGTATTCTTTTAGAGTTCTGTCAAATGACACCAATGATATGTGTCTGAGGGAAAAATGATCCAATAAAGCAAGCTTAACAAACCTTACTACTGAGCACTCTGCTATGAAAATCTAGAGAGGAAGGAATTCTATTAATGATAAATTGTATCCAAATTAAAAGCCAAATTCTACGTACACCATATCAGCTGTAGAAAAGAGACAATTTTGAGCTTTCCCATGAAACTGTATGTCAGTTTTATAGTAATTTATTCCTAGAGTGAAGAAGAGCAAGGAAAAGAACTGTCCATTACATATATTCTGCTGAAGAATGACTACAGCAAGTAGAGCTTTACAAGCTCTTCCTCTCAAAAGGATAAAAATGTTTAGGTCACCCCCACTAGAAAGTGAATACAGTTTGAAATTAAACATACAACTGAAAACAACCATGCCTTGCAGTAATGTATTTTACAGAAGAGAATGAGGAATACGAAGAAAAAATTCAGTACACCTGGGGCTCCCATCCCACTATACCACTTGAGCTTAAAATTCACTTACATCAACAGAGGAGTTTATGCTACTTCTTGAGCCTGAGGTACTAGCAATCCAGTGGCCATATCCATTTTCTGGGCCTTCCACATTGATATCTGCTAAGTGCTGCTGGAGGGCTGTTAAAAGGCCATTAAAAAACATTCAGAACTACACTGGAATTAGTCTGTTGATGAGAATACTGTATATCCAAGACTAATCAGTAACAATTTTTACTCCATGTGATTTAATAAAACATATAAATTCAGATACCGCTATATCATCCCTGTCTTTTCTTTCACTAGTACAAAGGTATTAGGATAACCTTTATTTTAGTAAAGAAAACAGTTAAAATACAGCAGCAACTAAAACTAAATCACTGCTTTGATCCTAAAGATAGCTGTTATGACACCGCACATATTGACGAGTAATGTTTCTATAATCATATTGTAGCACAGAACTCTCCACTGCTGTAGAGCCTGATTTATGTTGCTGGAATCAACTGCAGAATTACGAACTGATGATTTCAGAAAACACAACAACAATTAATAGTAATTATGAAGTAGCATCTTCATACAGATCTGCAATCTACAGAGGCTAAACATCAAGAATGAGAAGTTATAAGAAAGAGGGAATTTCCCCACTTACTGTATTAATTTTTCACCATTTAGGAATGTGGGTAAGCCATAACAGTTAACCACAAATTTGCAAGTGGACAGTGTTGACTTACACAAAACAAAAACCTGACAAATAAGACCTATTTGCTATTCATTTAGCAGATTTCTAGCCAAAGCCTAATAAAAATATCAACAGTGTTAAGGTATCAAGTTTTCTCAAGCCAAAGCTCATTATTAATAAGCTTACCCATAAATCCTCCTTTGGCAATGCTTACATACTCCTTATTTTTCTGCAACAGAAAAGACATTTTTGGTTGAAACAAAAACATGTGGAATGACTTTTGCAAGCATGGTAATGAAACATGGGTTAGTGTCATAAAAACTGTAAACTTGAGTAATGTGAAAAACAGTTAAGACTTTAAGGGGAAAATATTTTGCCATTTAGTATCAACGATATGTGCAGACACACTTTATTTCAGCTATTAAAATCAACAGCAATTTAGCTGTACCTGTAAGAAGTGTGCTAGCACCATGTTCATGTACATATCTTCTTCTTCCCTGCCACTTCCCATGAAGCAGAGATGTTCCCCACCAGCTATGGAGCCAGACTCAATAGACTGTTTTTGTGCTTCTAGTAGGGATTTTACAGACTGTGCAAATTCTGATGGGTTTTGAAGCATCTGTGGAAGGAACAAACGAAAAGTGCTGTTTGACACCAACACACTGTAACACAACTTATGAAAAGATGCAAACTTTGAAAATGGTTATAATTTGTTGAGCACAAACAAGGCAACACCAGCACCGTATAGGACACACGCACACAAAAAAGACAGCCAGACCGAGACCTCATGTTACATAAAGAACACCGATAATAGTCTTTTTCTTCCTCACTCCACCTTGTTCTCCCCAGGAAAGAAATGCAGCTAACATCTGTTAGCTTATTTTTGCAGACACCAAATAATAGTGGAAAAAGTCTTTGCAACATTCATGTTGCATTAAGTTGGCAATATGTCAGAGGGACTGATTTCCATATTTAAATACGCTTGAGCACAACACGTTCAAACTTTGCAGTTTTGAAACCCTTTAAAATACCCAGAATTTCTAGGTGCCAGTAAGGTCCTCCTCTTGTCTCCCTGCTAAGCTTCTTCTCATTTACTTATCGAGATTTGGGAAAAAAAAATTACAGTCAGGAGTACAAGGAGATACCTGGCATTCTTAGTGCTCTCAAAAAGTTAAGGCTGTGGTCTCCTGAAGGCCTATTATGCATGCAAAACTAGTGAGTTGCTATATGAAAGAGATGGAGGAACAAAGACTTTCTAAATACAGTTGAAATTTTAACCTGCTCTAGCGGGGAAGTCACTTATTTAAATTAATAAGGCAATATTGACCTGTAATTGGATTTCGGGGGGGAGGAATTCTCATTATCTAGCCTTTACACTGGATTAAATGATGAAGAACAAAGTACCAAGTACACAACCTAGCCATCAGTAAGTCAACCCGAATTTTTACTGGGGTTTTCCCAGAGCCAAATGCTTTATTACATAGGTGCTCAATCTCACTACTTCTTCTATCTAAGAATACCTATAAATGAGATGGATTCCAAAGTGCTTTCCCCATTGCCTCCCCTTAAAGTAAACTGTGTGTACTTTGCACATACAAGCGTATGAAACGCACTGAAGTTCCATTAATGGCTTTTCATCTCAAAGATTATTCCCTACGGTTTTCCTGGCATTAAACTTCTAAAAACAGAAGTGAACCTGGTGACATTCATCCAGCATGGTTCATGAAGGACCCTAACCATACCAGCTGATACACACTGCAGAAGTTAATTCCCATATGTAAATTAAATACATCCGAACTAATCACATCTAATTTAAGAACTGTCTTCGTGGACTTCTTTTTCATATATTACTAGGTTTTTAAACTATTTAATAACTTATAATGCTTCTACTTTATTGAATATGATGTTCAATTAAGGCTAACAGAAGGACACCCACATACCATGGGGAAAGTTTTTTCCTAAATAATTTTTTACCTAGGTTAAAACTCAGAACACTATCATACAATCATAGAATCATTTAGGTTGGAAAAGGCCCTTAAGATCATCGAGTCCAACTGTAAACCTAACACTGCCAACTCTCCACCACTAAGCCAGCTCCTTAAGTGCCACGTCTACCCATCTTTTAAATACCTCCAGGGATGGGGACTCAACCACTTCCCTGGGCAGCCTGTTCCAGTGCCTGACTGCCCTTTTGGTGAAGAAATTTTTCCTAATACCCAACCTAAACCTCCCCTGGCACAACTTGAGGCTGTTTCCTCTTGTCCTATTGCTTGTTATTTGGGAGAAGAGACCGACCCCCACCTCGCTACAGCCTCCTTTCAGGTAGTTGTAGAGAGTGATGAGGTCTGCCCTCAGCCTCCTTTTCTCTCCTGTACAATTATATTTGTGCAAATAATACTGAATAATACATAATTTTAATTAGAGAGGTAAAGATAATAGATGCAGGACTGAGCTTCTTGACTAAGAAAGGTAAAAAAGCCTTTTATGGGATATATACATAGAAATCATTCCATGCAACATCCATAGACTGCTTGAAGTGAAATAGTAGAGGGTTAATCTAGAAGTGGAGAATACACTGTAAGCCATCTGAAGCATAAGTGATTTGAGGAAAAAAGAACAGAGAAAAATATGATTGAATGTTCAGTTAGGAATTCATAATGAAATGGAAACTAAAGCAAAATCTTTAATGAAGTAATTAGTCCGTAGTACATCTCAGTCCCAAAATTCATGCACTTGCTCTCTCATATTGTACTGCAAAAATTTTAAAGGAGCAACCAAATCCTTTTCAAGACATATGCTCCTTACAAGCAGGCTGTAGTAAGACTGGCTGGGGAAAAAAAAAGAATGCTACTTGTTAAAATTAATGACACATTTCATTAGAAATTATGATGCTAAAATGAGATTTTTCCTCCAAGCAATATCTAGTCTTTAGCCTAGTTTCCAGTTCTAAGCAAAGAACAGGAAGTCTGGAATCCCAAATTCTAATGTCATTAAGGACTAAAACGGTAAAATGATGGTTGCATCAATCTCCTTTAGAGAAGCTGACTTTTGAAATCTCATCACATAGCTAGACACTGCAGTCCACAGACTAGAGTCTAAACTCAGGATAATTTACTTTTCAAGGCAGACGTTTCTCTCTCCTTCTATTTAACTTAGGATTCAAAAAATCAGTAAAGAAAAAAAAAGCATACGAACCAAATCAGAGTCTAAATGAAATGCTGTTGATAAATGCCCAGCATTGTATTGCTCTGCAGGACGACAATCCACTACAAAGAATCTTACTCCTTCCTGAAAGAGAAAGATTTTCCCTGTTACAAAATTTTAAAAACTTGTAATTATCGATAGGAAAGTACATTATTCAATTATATTTTAATACTAATTCCAATACTACAGGAACCCCTCAAAGGGGCTAACAGCTATCGGAAAAATCTTATTTCATTTGATTAATCTGAACTTCTACAGTTACCAGGCCACCAACAGTATTCTAGTAGTGATTTTCCATTAATACATCAGCTTGTGCATTGGAAAGGATCACCCAAGTGCAATAGACACAGTGTAATTATTTCACCTCTACTGAGAAGAAATACAGTGTGTATGAGAGCACACATAAACAAGACTTCAGAAGGGACAACTCCCAAGTCCCAATCCAACAGTCCATTACTACTCAGCACAGCACATAAGGATCGCTTTGTATCACACTGACCTAAACACGATATGAACAGATACTTAACTTGGACTGGGGGGGGGGGGAAGTATGCATTATGATACTGGGGCCTGGAAACTGCTACAAAAAGCAGTACTCGATAAGAAACATTGTAATCTAGCTACACTACTATGGGTGTATTGGTCTTAGATGCAGGGACTTCACTTAGAGTATTTAAGTATGTCTGCAATTTACTACTACAGAAATAGCTTGAATCAATTTTTTTGTTCGTTTGTTTAAACCTTTCATTGACGAAGGACAGATATTTCCCAATGGCATTCTCCTCAAAGGTACTGAGTACTGGGTTTTAAATTTTCCTCTACAATAGCTACTTTTGGAAAGAAATTAAAATTAGTGAGATATTACTTTAAGCTCCCACTCCTCAGATTCAAATCAGCTGTATTAAGCTTCCCTGTGCTACAGCTCTAGTTGCTACAGCACAAATGCATTGCAGTCAGCAGATCATTTACAAGGGAGACAACTTCAAGACAAGAATACTTTTTCCTAAAATAGCAAATATTTATCTGTGTTGTTAGCACTTAAAAATATTTGTGATACACAAATTAGTAAGTGATTCTTTTCCTTTTCTACAAAATTGGGGTGGGAAGAGTAATTCAGTATACTGACTCCCTGTTGCTGATTTGCTTGAAGAATCTCAGACACAGAAACTGCTAGACAGAGAGCCTGGCTCAAGTCTGTGTCATCATCTTTGAGGCCCAACAAGCTGCTGCCAAAAAGACTGTGGTTGTCCTAATGAGGCAAGAGGGGAGAAAAAAAAAAAAAAAGTTAATTGAAGCCATTGTCTTTAGATGTGAAGGCTTAAAGTAAACTATATCCACCATGTCACAAACATTAAGCCCGATACATGTGTATCTTGTCCACATAGTCATCAAATTTTTGACCAACTGAAATTCTTTCTGAAAATCATGGCAAGGCCTGAACTTCCATTACAAACACGCTTGCTCACCACTCTGACCATGCCAACGTGATGAAATACTTCTGGGTTTTGGTTGTTTCCCCCCCAAAAATCTCACATACCTGTCTACACACATCAGAGAAATTACATACAAGCCAAAGGCAATGACTATCAATTACTTTTATTTCATGAATTCACTGAAGTCAGGTATCTTGAGTAAGGAAGAACTGCAAGAACAGTGCAGGTGATGACAGCTTTATCTCTAGTAAGTGACTTTTTCCGGTTTGCTGTTGCAAATACAGCTAGGACTGCTGTGCAGTCTACTACAACACAATTGTGTCAGTATGGCATTTTTGCTTCATCAGTTCTTACAAGAACCCAGTTTGCAAAACAAGGTCATCAGTCATGAAGTGAGAATATTGCAGGGAACCTTCTGTCTAACATGTTTCACTTTATCTTCTTATCTTTTAAAGGTCCTAACAGTAAATACCACCAGAGTAACAACATGAAAAAATTGTTTAAAGAAAAAAAAAAAAAATCACAATGCAACATTCAAAGTTACTGTCAGCAGGAGCTTAAACAGTCACCAAAAAGAAGAGAATTTCAAAATTACTTAGTTATTACCTTCCTGAAAGAAGCTGGAGTTTTGCTACAGTAATATTGTGCCAAAGAGAAGAGATCTTCTATGTCCTCTAAATCAAGATTGGCTGGTGAAGTTTCTAAGAATTCTGAGATATACAAACAACACAAGCGCACCATTATTTCAGACGTAGAAAAGAAGCACTATACATCTTTTCACATCATAAAATAACTTATTTTTAATTTATTGATTAAACATGAATATTGAGTCACTCAAGGAAAGGGAAGATACAGAAAATACTCCTTATCCATAGGAAACCTATGCTATTTGCTAGAAGTTCAAATCTTCTACGTGAATTATTTTTTACCACACACTTACCTCTGTATATTTTTAGCTTTCAGTTGTAATACTAAGTCAGCTGCCTTTTCTAAAGAGCGCTGACCAAGAGAATCCTCTAAAATAGAGTACTTAATCAGTAGTACTACTATATGTCCAGGATGGTACAGGGTTGTAGTTCTGCAGTATATGGCAAAGACGCAAAATTCCAAGCACTCTCATTTTTAACTACTAGGAGATTATTAACTACACTGTATTATGCCATGTAAACAAAAAATACAAAGGCAGGTGAAACAGGCTCACAAGAAATTTAGTGTAATTTCTATAAAAACAGAAGAGGGTAAGACAAGAACCATGAATTAGGCTCAAATCAAGTGCATATGAAGATAATCTGGAAAATGCAATAAGTGAAGCAGATTTAAAGAAGGATTTGAAAGCTGCTGCTTTGGGCTTAGAAACATGGCGATTGTTTCAAGTACTCCAAACTGAAGTATAAAACTAGGTGTGGGAGTGCTAAAAGGACACACAAAAAAAGAATGTTAAGGACAGGGCAAATGTGATGCAGCAAAAGAATAGTAAGAAAGGAATTAGTGGGTAAGTGGATTTATTAATGAGACAATCACAGGGAAATAATTTAATGATTCAGTTCTTTAGTAATTAAAAATAATAATCAATGGAGACTATATTATATGGTAAATGTTTCATTAGCAGCTATATAAGAGAAGTACTTACTTATCATTTCTTCTTTATCTGATTCTTGTGCTAAGATAACGTCTCTGAAAACAGTAAAGTCATAGGCATAGATTAAGTCAGTAAAACCAAAATGAAACAGAAGTGGATTAAAACTGTGTCAGCAGGGAATGTCCCAAAGAATTAACTATACACTTACTTTGCATTGACAAGGATGATTAACATTAAGAAATAAATAAAGAATGGATCTGCTTGTTGTAGATATCCATCCCATATTGCCTGAGTGACTTCAGCTGAACAGTAATATGAGAAGAGGCTTCCAAGCTAAAAATTTGGAAAATAGCATGAGAAAAAGCAATAACCAGAAACAATCTTATCAGGATAACATTTTTAACAGATACAAGATATCTAAAAAAAATAAAAACGACAAAATTACATTAAAACATACATCTGCACCATGTATTGAAGGATGGTTCTACCCTCAAAAATAATTTTTATGGAAATAGTGCAGTACTGCAACAGATTATCTGTGAATAAATACGCCTAGTGTGAAGGCAAACTCAGCTGTACATTGTCAGCCTTGCAAATTCAACCAGAGATAACACAATCAGGCTGGAATACTATTTAGCTCATAGCCACTGCTAAATACCAATTATACCAACAAGACAATAATAAGAGAATATATTTACTCAACCAGCTGAACAAATAGGACTTTGAAAGGATTCTGTAAACAACATTCTTTTGATTTTTCACAGTACAACCAAGCTAATTGAACATGGTTGCACATCAGTTTGACAACGTCACTTACTTAACATAACATTATGATGCTTTATGGCTGAGTAATTAAACATTTGTAAGCAACAGAAAATTTTCATTACCATTAACAAACTGTTTGCCTGTTCCCATGTTCCCATTTAAAAATACATCCTCTCTGATATGCAAAGTTCCAAGTGGATAAAAGAAAAGGTAGGAGCTTCTTTTCATACATGCCAGATAATATTTGCTATCACATCTAACTCAAATGCATACCAGCTGGCTTCGCTGGGGTCTTACTGAACTTGCTGAGGCATACAAATTCTATATCAACAGAGATGCAGCTTTCAGAAGCTCAGTACCTGTTTTTAAACACTATCATGGAATATTTCAGCACTTCCTAGTACACTTTTATAACAAAAGGTAAGAAGATCTATCCAATTCTGAGTCAAACGCAACTGAAGACAAAATGTCCCTGAACAACAAGGCAATGACAGGTCTCTGAATGTTGCTTATGTATTTCTGCACATTAGAAAAACCTCTATATAGATTAAGTTTTTTGACAGATGAAACCAGGAATTTTAATTTAATCTCATAATATAAAATGACCTTTAAGATTTTTTTCTAACATTGTACACCAGAAAGCATGACATTGAAGACTGGCAACTACACTAGCTCACGTCTATTCAAAGGGAAGATTTTTTCCTGATGAATCACTAAACTTTTAATAAGCAACTTCAAAGAAGTTTGTGCTTACTAAAGAAAATTATACATATAAAAAAGGGAAATTCAGTAGTAAAAAAAGACCTGATTGCTCTTTTGAAGGCTGACAACTGGCAAAAGGCAGATTTTGAGAATATGGAAATTCTGGACACATTTTAGTATTAAAATTGGCAGCAGCCTAAAATAATCATCTTAAAAAAAACAAATACAGACCTCGCAGTTTAATAGTTCATTTCAGTCTTATTTCTTTAACTGAAAGTAACGGAGTTACAAAAAATTTTACAAAGCCAATGGGTATGAAAGAAGAGCCTAGAAGAGTTCATGGGTCATAAAGTCTTCTTTATTAATTTACAGACTTTGCCTCTGCAAGCACTGTTATCATGATTTTGTATGGCATATACATAAGTAGCACTGAAACATGAGAATTTTGCCGCTTTATGTTGTAGTCCTGCTACACAAACTTTATTAAAAAAAAAGACTGAGGTAAGTGTCTTTATAAATACCCCCAACATGAGGCAGTTTTAAAGTTAAGGTGAGGAGGAAATGACCAATTCTTGAAGAGCTGTAAAATATATGTGCCTAAATTCTAAAAGGCATAGCACCGTATGAGGCAAATATATCTATTAGCATGGAGGTTTTTAAAACTATTAGTAATTTGACTTTAAAAGACCTGTTAGGCTGATGTTTATCCATATCTACAACCATACCACTGCCCACTATAAACACTAACATCACAGCTTCTTACTCTTTGAGTATGTCAGTTGCTCTCATTCTTACTTATTCCAAGTATTTCCTAACATCAGTGGCTCAATTAACATCCAGAACAATAAAAATGTGACATTAACAAGACCTCATACCTTGTGTTAAACAACTGAAGACAAAAAGCCCACAGTATATTAAAACATGCAACTTATTTCAATATATGCAGTTCTAATCTCTTCTACTACTCTTCCATAAACTGGGAACATGTACTTAAATTTTAACAGAAATTTATTTTTCATTATGTTTCCCTACTTTCACTTTATTACCCAGTTGAGTGCATATGAGTCTGGAGTCATCTTCTTAGTATCAAGAAAGGAGCAGAGTTCAGGCTCATGGTACTGAAGAAGCAGTCTAAATAGATGAAATGGTCTTCCCTTCATAAAACAATCCCTAAAAAGTAGCAGTGAAAATAATCATAAGCCACCCATAATATTTCAGTTGTCAGACTTACAGTAGCAATTCTTTGTTAGGTGTGATTATGTTGTTTCCTATATTGTTCTTTTAATTCACAGGGACTGATCATGAAGTCAACTTGCCTTAAGAGTTAAAAACTCAAAAACCAAAACCAACAAAAAACCCACAAACACTGAAAATGCCACTATGTTAATAAGGCAGGAGAAAGAACGAAAGACTGCCAATACTTGATAGAGTATATAACACAGAAGTATTTAAAACAGATTTAAATATCAAAACAAGGCTAGCAGGTACCAATGTTGTTAACTAAAAATAGAATTAAAAAAAATATATAAATCATTCTAAATATGGCAGCCAAAGGAAATTTAAAAGATGCTTATTTCATACATGACTAACAATTAAATGTCAATTCATCAAGCAGGAAGTAAATGAGTATTTAAAATGAAGAAATAGTTGTTTAGACATTAGGAACAAATCTCAAGTGTTCAAAAACTTAAGTAAACTTATGTGAAACTTGACACACAGATCGCCAAACACAATTATCAGCCTAACTTTCTTAAACAAGGGTATGTCTGTGGTGGTGAAACGGAAATATTCGCAGCAAATTATATGTGGGGATTCTTTTTTGAAATTAATCAGAAGAACTCTGACTTCCCATTAAGTTAACAGGACAAAAAGTGTGAAAAGAAGAAAAATATTCTATTAATGAATTTAGCGTAAGAATCTAGACTTGCAAATCACTTTGTTTGAATGGTTAATATGGTCAATTATTCCAGTCATTCATTCATTCTTTACCACCTTTTAACATTAAGAATGGATATATACCCAAAAATAACTTTAAAAAGTGGAACAATGTTGTTTAGACATTTCACTTAACTGTTTTGCTCAGTAATTTTTTTACTTCTGGTACCTATCATAGTAATAAACCCTTATTAAACACCCAGTTTAAAAACAAAACAAAACAAACAAACCTAAACAAAAACCAACCAACCAAAACCAGTGCCTCCAAAAAAACAACAAAAAAACCACTTTTCAAGAATTGCGAATTCCTGTACCCATCCATTACTTCCTAGGCTAGAAGCCCCATGGAGGCAGCAGGCTCAGCCATCGGAAGGACTGGTAAAAAACAAAAGCAAAGCAAAAACAATTAAAAAAAAAAGTTTAGCTAAACAGAAATAAATTGCCCCAGAAACTAACCTACATTTTACTTCAGGAGAGGGTGGGTTGTTGCTGGGTTTTTTTGTGTTTTTTTTTTTTTCCTTTTTTTTTTTTTTCCCTTGGGGGGTAGGGTGTGTGTGCAGCTTGGGTTTGTTTTTGTTTTTTTTTTCTGTTTGTTTGTTTGTTTGTGTTTGTTTTTATTTGTTTGTTTTTATTTGTTTGTTTGTTTTTTAACCAAAAAAAGGAAACTATTTGCTACCCTCTGTTAGAGGTAACATTGATGTAATGTAAGCAGATGTAATGCGCTTTCCTCACATAGTCCCTGAAAAAAGACACACTTTCATTATCCACTTGCAGCTTTTTAACTAGTTTACTACCTTACAAGCTTTCACACAAATAATTGTCTGCTCAATTGCATATCTGAGATGGTGTTTACTTCTACTTATGGCCCAAACAAAGAATCCTAACGACCTACGACTTCCATATTAACTGTTTGCTAATTTTGTATAGTTCAGAAAACTCACCATTCTAGAGGAAAGGCAGGAGGAAAAGACAGACAGGTATCCACAGGATACTTTATACCAAAAGCCTTGAGAGTAACAGTGTTTCCAAGGAAAAAATAGCAAAACCTCCCTCATCTAAAATAGCCTGTTATGGTTTTTTTCCCCCTCATTCTTCCTTTGGCTTGCTAGAGATGCTCTTTAAAAACAAAAAAAAAAACAAACCAAAAAAACCCCAACAAACAACCAAGCTATAATATGGTGCAACAGATTATGCTGTACATTTCCCTCATCTGTTGTCACTATTATGTTAGAATAAATTCCCAACAAATATTTCATGATGGTTATAAAACATGAGAAAATGTGAATAAAAAGTGCATGATTTAAAAAACAAAAATAGCAAAAAGTTAAAAATAAAACTTTTCTCAAATAGCAATGATGGGCCAGCAGCCAAACATCAAATCAAGACCAAACTGAACTAAGCGGAGATTTGCAAGCCTACTATAAATTGCCTTTCTATGCCTTTCATTATCCAAGAGAGAGAGACAGAGAACAGTCTACATCTTGTTGAAACACCACTTAGGTTCTTACAAAGAAACTCAAATACTAGATACTCTGAAAGCCTTCTATGGCTGAAAGTATATGAGTTACTTGACCACACCACCACTACCCCCAAACAGTTCACGGACCCCAACAGTATTTTAAATCAGAAACGGACACAAGCTGAGTCAAGTGACAGGACTGATAAACGTTTCCTGCCACCACACAAACGTGAACTTTTCATATCATGGGCACACATCCAGTAGCTGGGCTGGAATCTCCTCTCCAGGGAATCAGACTAAGGTTTTTAATTACAGACTAGCCATACATTATTTCACAAGGTCTTAATCAGAAGAACCTGTAGCCTTGCTGGAGTGTCATGGTGCTACTCCAACATAAATAAAAATTATTTTAGTCAGAGCACCTATTTTACAGCATGAAAAGCTCCAAATTAATATTTTTTATTAAAAAAAAAAAATCTAACAACGTAAAAAAAAAAATCATTTCAGTCCCAACTCAGTAGAATACAGGGAAAATATCAACTACTTCTTCTAAAGCCTAGATTTTGAGGCTTAATTAGTGCTTATGAAGTACTTTGAAGTGACAGTGATAGAAGCATTTTAGCTATCAAAGATGCTAGGAAAGGAAAGAAAAAAAATGCTTTCACATAACATATGTGAATTAGAACTCGATCGTCTCCTGGACTTCAAACCAACAGGTACTGAAAGATGGTTCAATTTATTATCATATGAAGGAATCTGACAACTTTGCTACAAACACTGCTACTCTAGCTGAAACTAACATGCACATGCTTTCAGAAAATACTTTTAATGCCAATAAAAATAGTACACAAGCAAAAGAAAGAGTTTTACCTGGGAATGAATTTATTCATGATAGCATAAAAGCAGTTGTACAAATCACTGCGTGGCAAATGAAGGTGCACCAGAGGTTTGAGTAGATGTATCCAGCCGAGGCAAGAACTGTATTTAACATTGCGTGATTTACAATAAAAAGTAATAACAGACTCAATATCCAGAAGTAATACTGACTTCTCCTCTTCTGGTACTGACAACTGGTCTGAAATAGGCACAGCAATATAAACCGTATTAATGGCCTTTCGAAGAAATTGAATGTGATTATTTCACTGCACAATCGCACCAATAGGGTCTGCTTGGAAAAAAAGAAAAGGCAATAAAAACAGACAAACAAAAAACTAGCAGCTTGGATTAAATGCTTGCAGAAAGGCATCCAAAAAGGCATCAAAATACAAGTCATTTTACAACCCCAGTAGGATAAGGCATTTAAACAATGTTTAAATATCACAACAACAGGATTAAAGAAGTTTGGGTTCTCCAGGATCTATACGAAACAAAGAGGCAGACTCTTTTAATGCACAGAATGCCCCTCTTCTATTCCTATTGGATATGCTCAGCGTATAACTTATGCTCAACTCTACAACAAGTTAATTTGAATTTCAACACAGATCAACCCACAATACATACCTCCAATTCCTCAAAAGTCCACTGACATGCAAATTTATGAAAATCAGTAGTTTGAAATCATCTAGGCTTACAGACTTAAATTTTAGTATTAACATATAAATCACATTTTTAATCTCTACTTCAAAGTAATTTTCTTAACAAGAGTTTAAATTTGGGGTTGTTAGGGTAACTATAAAATGAGAAATTATTTGATTACTTACAACTATACCTGGCTTTTAAATTCAATTTGGTACTGTTGCTAATCAGAAGATACACTAACCATGAACATATAATCTTTTATATAATGTAGTACATTGTTTCAAATTCTTACAAATGTTATAAGGTACTGAAGAGTAAAGATGTCCCCTATTTAATGACAGACTAATTCTGAATCCATAATTTATATTGTTGCATTTGGATGAAAACTGGCACAAAAATTTGGTACAAAACCAGTTCTGTAATTAAGGTAGCAAGCTAAACACTTCTTAAATATTGTCATTATTGAGTTTGATACATACACAAAGCTTAGGTTTTCATTAGTTCCAAAGCATCTTTCTGCACAGACTCCTACTTAAAAGGCTGACAACACTTCAGAAGAAGCACTGGCATCCACCTCACTTGAGGCAATGAATCTAAGGCATACTGAAATGTCAACATCATACCCCAAATTATGCCTTCCTCCATGTGATGAAATAACTACTTAGCTTACTTACAACTAAATACACCGGTATTTATTATACAGATTGTAGTGAAACCAGACTTTTGTGTAAGTTCATACAATGTTCAGTTCAATATTAAACACCTTTTAAGATTTTTTTAAATGAAAAATGTAATATTAAATACACTTATGAATTATATATTTCAGAAATAAACTTGTTTTAACCTACTTAGATTGTGCCAATTTTACTACAGCTAAATCGATTGACAGTAAAAGAAGGAATAACCATGTTATGTCCTGGACGGGGGAAGAGATGCCTACACACTACATTAATACAGTGGCATTAAATTTCTAGCGAACATTTTTCCCCCTCAATTACAAGAAGCCCATGAGTCTCATTACTGTTAACTAAAGTTTTTATTACTGAAGTCTTTAATACTTTCACATCAAAGCCAGTCAACATTTGGCATTTCCTTTCCTCTACCTCTCAGGAAAATAAAATAGTACATAAAACTCAAATGCCATCTGAAGATTTACTTTGAATTTGGAGACTACTTGCTTTGCTAAAACATTGAAATACAGAGATTTAATCCAATCCAAAATTGAAATCTCTATATAACCTTCATTCTGAGTAACTTCACATTTATTACTTTAATCGGTTTAACATTGTTACATATTACAAAATATTTGCTATAAAGACAAAAGGAGAACTAACAGACATTAAAGTGCTTAATTTTGTATGTTATGAATACTAATTGGGATGTTTTGCCACCTTCCAGAAAACACACTGTGATTAAATAACACAGTGGAATTTTGTGCTCCCTTTCCTTTACAGGACAGAGAGAGAAGGAAAATAAGCCCGACTAGATTCTAGAGCTGGAAAATGTAGAACTGCATTTTAAACATAGCAGGTATGCGTGTATGCATGCATGCAATAGTTCTGTTCTCTGCCTTGACTTTCAATTGTGCAAGAATAAATTAAAGTGTGACAGGTAATAAAATAGAAGATTATCTTATTGATGCCAGTAGAAGAAGTATCCTAATTTATGAGTCAGCACTCACTCCATCACCTGATTATTGATACTAACGCTGTTGCATGGTGTCAGGGATTTGGCCATTTTTGTGATGAGCTGCCAACCAGACCTTGTGGCAGCTCCTTAGAGACATACTGGAATATTATTTCCAATGTCCTGGCAGCATCTTGCTTTCACAAACACAATGTTTCATTTTTGCTGAAAACACTATTAAAAAAATACCTTTAAAAAAATAGTCTTTAAAGTCCAAAATGTTAAATATATTTCTTCCCTTAGATGTTATATGCATTTTGGTCCTACACCAGCTTTTCAGATTAAGTACCAGTCATTAGACAATTAAAAACTTGAATGACACTATAGAAAGAGCATCTGGTTTAAAAGATGGAGCTTGGAAAAAAAAATAAAATTTCTTTCAACTCCTAAAGCTTTCTTCCAACTCCTAAAGCTTTCTTCCCATTCAGCTCTGACCATGCAAACTATCACTTACAAGCTAATACTTTAAACTTCCATGACGTCACCCATCTCAGAGTCAGAGTACTGATAGATAAGACACTACTGTTTCCTTACAAGTTCTTTCTGATTTTCTCTGCCCTCCCATCTTCCTCCTCAAAGCTTCCTCCAAAATGCAAACATCATTCAGGTTCTTTAATTCAAATAATAACGTCCTAAGACAACCAAGAGTACAGAAGTTTTCACATAGGTGATCTAAATGGAATTGAACTTACCAATTAGCTCTTGGCAATCCTTATGAATTATACTCTGTTCTGGTAGGTCTAAAGAGCCATCCCAGGATGCTAGGCTGTCCCCCTTTCCTACAACATTAAGTGCAATCTGAAAACGAAAACAGAAAACCCTCTAAACATTTTAGTATCCTCTTGTAGTTACCCAATTATTGAACTTAATGAAGAGGAATATCCTTAAACTGAACCAACATACATGCATATTAAAATTCCAGTATTACATCTCTTCTGCATAGATGCCTGGTAATTAAATAATTTACCTCAAAATGAAACACAACTTCAAGTATTTCCTGCTTCTTGACTTAAGCTCGTATTTACCTTCCAGACTTTGGCCCTCAGATCAGCAGGTAATTGCCTGCCTTGAATGATGTTTCTCACAGTTTCAAGATCACAGCCTCCTTCTTCTAGAGCGTCTGCAAGATCTTTTTCCCTATAATAATGATACATAATGTGTTTATTGAAAATGAATTATACAATATTTTTCTATGTTTATCTATTAAATAGATGTAGACTGGAAGCTACTATCAGGTAAAACCCACACATGTGTAAAGATATATTATAAGACAACTTGCCAATTACTGAAAATAAATATTTGCAAAATGTTATTTATTCCTTTCTTTTTAAGGCTGCTTGTTCAAGTTCTAATTCCATTCAATTTATGAGAAAAATATGAGAAAAAAATAAGTTCAGAGCATTTTTTGTTTGCTTTCATGAAGCGGCAACATTGCAAAATGTATCATAAAAATGCAAATTTAGTTGTCATTTACAACTTAAGAGATACACGGGAAATTTTCACACACACACAATGCATTCAAAGCAAACACTACACCTAAATTAGATGGCAGAGTTCTTTAAAATACTACATGACCTAGAAAACAGAAAACTTATTTCAACCGTTTAGAACAGTCAGCTTTTAACGCCATCTTTCCCTGAAATGGGAAAGGACCTTTTAGTCAAACTCAGGTTTAGTTAACTATTAAGTTCTAGTACCGTAAGTGTAGACATGTGCACAAGACTAAATTAAAACATATGAAAATGTTAATAGTAGTATAAAAAGTAGCAAAATTCACAAATTCACAAGACAGTCAAACAGTAATGATACTTTAAGTTGCCACAGTAAGACAACAAAATTTCATAAGCATTACAGGTAAGAAGGTATGCATTCAGAAATTATTACTTTACAATCTCTTTGATAACTTCTGCAGACTGTTTCAACGGTTCCATGCTGTCAACAGCGAGAGAATCACATCTGATGATTTCAGGAATTTCAATATTATGTAGCACAGCAGTGGCAAAACACCAGATTCACTGGAAAAATAGCAATGGCAGTGATACATAGGTCCCGTAGGCAAAACTTCTCCCTTTCTGTATCCTCTTCACTGTTCTCTACTAGCTCTGACATATGCCTTAAGAAAGGCTTTGCTTCATATACCCGAGGAGTTAAACACACACCCAGGAGGTTTATAGCCAGAGCAAAACATAGAATGCGATTGTTTATTCAGGACAGATACTCCAGCAAGAGGCGTTCCTCATGAACAACACATCTATTTATACATGTGTAATAACAGATGTTAAAGTGTTATCAGTACAATTCTCAATTAATCCATGTTACATACTATGTAGTCAATTCCAAATACCCATGGAAAAAAGAATGTCAGCTGTTGAGCTCTGTCTGCTTCTTTAATTTGCATATCTCCACAACTCACTCTTTGATATAAAGCTTCTCAAGTTTGGTCTTCTGAAAGCTTAACACACAAATTTCTGATTTTCTAAATACCACCCTTTTTGATAGATTAAAATCTCAATCCTGTAAGAATGTATGTATATACTTAAGAATAAGCAATAAGCTAGGCTTACTTAAGACTTCTCAAAGTATTTATAAGTTTGCAGAGTAGGCATTTTCCTTGGATTGTATCAGCCAGTTTCTTTGCCAGTACTTTTTGGTAGCACTGTAAATCATATTTCAAACATACACTGGGGCACAATAGTCTGTTTTCCTCAAGTAATTTTGCGAATTTGGATAAAAGAAAGTACAGTCTACAAAGAGACTGACTTGCCTTGTTTTCTTGTATTTTTAGTATTTAAAAAAAAAAATCCCAAAGCCCACTTATAGAACTACAGGCTGCACGGGTGAATATCCCCTTCCTGAGACAGAAACGGGGGTGGAAGAAATACACAAGCACACTTGCGCATCCATCACCTATCCTGTTGTAAGACTGTGTATATAACAATCAACACTGGAAAAATTAAAACCACCAAATCAGTTCACCCTGAATAAAAATCAAGTATTTCCAGGACATTTACAGAAAGAGACCTAGCACTCGGCAGAACTGCATGAACTCTGGGATGATCTAACTTCAACAGAAGCCAACATCAAACATCAGCTGAAGAGAGCTAGATGCTCTTAGACATATTGCAGGTTTCTGTGCACACCATGTATGGCAAACAGACTAGAGAGCAACAGCTAGCCCTTGAATTATAGCACACAAAATATGATTAGTTGCTATAAATATTATCCAAGTATTCAATAGGCACATGGAAATGAATGCAACAGCTCATCCACATTGTATTTCAGGTGGAAAGGTCTTAAATTGCAATACTTAAATTTGGTTTCTATGCCCTCCAAATAAAATTAAAAGTAATTTAATTAAAAAAAGTAATTTAATATATGTGAAACAACACTTAAAAACACATCTACACCAACTACAAAAATACACCTGGCCAAGAACGTTTCACAGACCCATGAGCACTAATTCTACAAGTTACTCATACCTAATATTCACAGCTTAAAAAACTATGCATGGGTTAACATCAAGATCAACTTCAACCCGTTATCTGTGAATGCGCGCTTCCTCTGTTTGTTTGATAATATATTACTATTTGCAAAATCTTATTCACAAGTACTGTCATCCGCACTTTGTACACTGTGAAGATGACGGGCAAATGCTAGCTTTATTACTTCACTTCAAAAAGTAAGAATCTGATATGCCCATCTCCCACATGAAGAGACACGATGCATTACCACATTGAGTTAAATGAAATAACAGCGGGAGGGGGGGGGAAAATTGCATTATTCTATTTATGATTTAATTAGCTATTCTTTTCCTCCATCCACTCCCAAGACTGTTCACAGGCTAGAAGTGAGGACTTCTCAAAGATTAAGAAAAATTATTTTCTAATAAATATTCTATTCACGCTAACTTGCAAAGTGATTTTGATACTTTAACACATGTCCACCGGCTGTGTTTTACCTTATTTCAGTCTGTGCTATAAATGTTCCAGCAAACTGCTAGCAATCTGGATCCTTGTCTTCCATGAGTTAAGATCAGCTAGGAAGTTTCCTGTTCATATGGACAGCAACTATTACACTTACTTTGGAAGGAATGCAGCGCTCCTCTTTATAGGCAAACTCCTCCAGACCCGAACATCCTTCTTTCTGCTCTACCACTGCCTAATTGTAGACACTATCCTAAATTTTGGTTAGATGTGTACAATTCCAGCCTATACCCAAGCCATGGCCCGAAAGGTTAATTCCCACAAGACATACTGTTCTAAATCTCATAATGCACAATGCTGCTATTAGTGTATCTGGAGCAAATTTCCATACTTACACAAGGATCTCTGAAACTCATGCCAGTCCAGTGACATATTATAATCAATAGGTAACTACTTGCACAGACATTCAACATGATTTTTTTTTTTTAAGCCAAAACAATTCACATCTGACAGCGAGCTGGAGGCAATAAAAAAATTGATCAACTGTTGGGACTTCAGCTTCATTTTTTTTTAAGTACTATTTATTTTATTTATATATCACTGAGGTAGTTGGTAACAGTAACATAAATATTAATGAAGAGATTAAGAAATTGTGGGGATGTGAACAGCAGGGAAAAGATAGTAGGAACTGTTTTGATGAACTACAAATACATAGGAAAAGACGTATAATATGAAGAAAACTGTAATCAATCAGTAGATTACAATGCCTGGAACGTATCTGCTAAAGTCATTATGTTTGCTTATTTGTTATTAGGAAAGACAAATCCCTTCGAACTGCTTCTTCCAAGTCAAAGCGCGTTTTTGGAAAAAAATGCTTCAAAAGTTTAAAGCTTTAATTTGTGATGGGCACACTTCTAATACTAATTTATTATTTTCACAGGCCAACAGGTATCTTCTACATGTACCAAATTCATTATCTAAAACGCACGTATCAGTCCAAAACAAGATGATCAGTCTTTTTCCATATACACTGAATCTACTATGACACACCTGCCTGTTAAAGATATTACTCAGTGGCCTGAGAGAGGCTTAAAACACATACTTCCACTTCGATTATACTGCTTACCAAACTGCTTCCCATATTCTGACCATTGACCCAATGCTGGTGTAACGCTTGAAAAGCTGCTTGGATTATTTTCTCCCACACTCCTCAAGGGACACACTGATCATAGCTGCTCATGATATGCTCTAGCAGGCCACCACCACTTTCAGTGTAGTAGTATTCAGTAGTATTTCCTAAACATCTTCACACATCATTCCTGTTTTCCCTAAATCAGAAGCAAGGCTGCTACCAGCTTGAACCCTTGCCAAGAGTACAGTCAGTTTTAGTTTCTACAAAGTCGCTGTCTCCTAGAATATCAAACACATCCAGTCTGCAAGTTTTCACGTATTTCTGATAATTGTAGCATGCAAAGAGAAAGACAGGCACATATATCACAATGCTGCCATCACCATTATGAGGGCTGCCTGTACATATCCATGTTAGTGCCAGATTGGACTAATTTAATCTAATATATTTTTATTATTTTTGTTGTAAGCATTTTAAGCAAAATACTTGAAAAAGCTCACAATAGCATACAGGTTTATAACATGCAGTAATTGCAAATAAGCTTTACTTAAAAGAAAACTGGGCAAGTGAATAGTGCTCGTGAAAATTTCCAAAGTCAATGGCTAATAGAAATTTATTTTTATAGTCAACATTCTACCTTCCCACAGCAAAGAACACAGCTTCCCCCCCGCCCCTCGCTTTTATATAACCTAGTTACTCTGATTCCTACTTCTAATTTAGGATTCTTCGACTACCGGAAAAAAGCCTCAACAAGAGCTACATTAAATCGAAGTAATGAGGAGTGTTTGTTCTCTATTGAAAACAAACAAACAAAAATCAATCCCTCACATTTACTTCAAAATATCCATTGTATTCAGAACACCATTGAATATTCTTTTTTTTTTCCCATGGAATTTTGAGGAAAACAGTAACTCCCTGACTTTACCTCTATTTTTTCCTCAAGTGTGTTAATTTTGCAGTTAACCGCAAAAGATTTTTTTGTTCGTGTGCTTTCAGAGGAAATACCATGGCTCCAAGCACTAACAAGCCAGATTCTGAGCACAGAAAAAAGATATATGTACTAGTTTTGTCACCCTGTTGTCTGAAACAGCTGGAGTGTCTTTTGGGACCCGTAAGATGAATGACTCCAATGCAAAGTTAAATGCACAGGAACAATTCCATCTGTGGTTACAGTTATATTTAGTCAGTTCAGGTCTTAACTTTCAAAGTATAGATCTTAAAATAAAAAATACTCCTTGATCAAGTTCCCTGAAGCTTGAGTATTAAACAAACATCTGCAAAAAGTTTTTAGAAATTAATTCATAACTGTTTATATCTTCATCTGTTTGAGAACCTGAACAAGAAAAATTAAGTCCAAATCATTTATTTCCTTGATAATCAAGGAGAGAAAAAAACTATAACTTCCAATTACAAACATTTTAACTAATAACGGACCAGTTTGTTTGCATCTATACATTCTATTGACTAGATGTACTATATTGACTAAAATGATGGTTAAAATAATCAAATAAGCAGACAAAAAAAAAGAAATTAAGATTTTACAGCACAGCTTGAAAGCAGACTGCCTCCTTTGTGTTTCACAGCATTCTTAGCTTTGAACACAGATATGTCTTCCAGCATCAAATACTGCTGGCAATTTCTCAAATTAATTTTTGAGAACATGCCAAATAGCTAAAAAGAAATATTTAATAAACAAGGTCTGACAGATTTTACTCATTTTTATATCAAAACTGTTGATAAAATTTCTGTATTTACTGAAGAAAAAGCTGACAGTCTCATCTTTCAATAACTCTATACAATAAGTTGGGGGGGAGTGTTGGGGTTTTTTGGGGTTATTGTTTGGTTGTTTTTTTTAAATTGCATTGTACCGTGGCAAATTTCCCTGGTTTTTGTTAAACAAAACACCAAGCAGTCAGTACGGATGTTGAGGGGTTTAACTCATCATTAGTTTGTGCCCCCCCCCAATCACTTATACCAGCACTGCATGCCAGGTTGACACAGGAAAAAAAGAGGGCATTTTCTGTTAATAAGCATGTCTAGATTCTACATACTCAAGGTGTTGTCACAGTCTCTGAACACAAAATTACATCTGCCTTTGAATTCCCCTAAGGAACTGAATAGAGGACAAGGAATCAGCACTACCAGTTTTGCTCCCAACAGAGTTCAGGTGTACGCGTAATTTTATGTTTCTGCTGGATTTTTTTAAACGTGAAATGTTATTGCACAATCCTATATACTTCAAAACTGTGATAATGTAGTAATTTACACCAAAAACCTCATTTGAAAGATACATATTATACTTAGAAAGACAACTGTTCAACAGCATTCAGATATGTATACAACAGTTTAAATCAATACATGAAAATATTTCACTGAAACTGGCTTTAAAAAAAAAACCAAACAACATAACAAAAAGCCAAAACACAACAACCAAACCAAAAAGCCATGTGAAGTTTCTAAACAAGCAACAAGGAATACAACTTCATGTTACCAACAGGGTACAGCTCTAGTAACAGGATGTATTCTGGCATATTAATGTCGCATTTAAGCATAAACCTCTTGAACTGTTCCCACAAAGACTTACAAAATCTCTTCTAATGAATGCCTTCAAGTTTGCCTTTTCTAGTAGTAGTAGCAGCATATCAAATTTACTATACCTACATTTTGAAACTGCCAGTCACAGAACAGTAACAACGCAGGCTGCGCTTTGAAATATATCTGGAAACTGCACTTGTGCTTCGTTCTTGACCAGGAATTTTAGCAGTTTGTTGTGATCTGGGAGATTGTAATATTCTTTCAACATTAGTAATAAAAGAGGTTTGAAGTATTTTTTCAGAGATATTTCAACACAGTTCTTATTCCATGTCCAGGGTTATATTTCAAAGTGTCAAGACAGCAATTGTCAATGAGTCTCTCCTTAACTTTGTAATTATACATCCCAACAGTCAGGTCTGTATTTAGAAATTATGTTTATGCAACACTGTACCTATAGAAAGTGCTTCATAAATTTTCAAGGTGTAACTAAAAGCAAGAAAAGGCTAAAAAACGACACCGATTTATTTTCATTTGCTAATAAACAATACTTAATTGTTTTATCCAAGAGCTGTATTTGTAGACCCAACCTAGACAGAGAAGATACCAGCTACACCTGCATGTGCATCAGTTCTGGCTTCTCTACAGTGAGATAACTAAGTGCAAAGAAGGCTGAGCATAGCAGGCAAGAAACTTTGAATCCGCCACATAAAATAAAGTGTAGACGCAAAGAAATGAGATTGGAAATTATCATAAAAAGCAGGTCTGTAAGGTAGCTGTTTGAAAAGCATGTACATGGAAAGGAAAAAAAGCAATGCTGTGGCACAGAACCACAGAAAGAAAAGAAATCACATGCAATGCAGAAGTGCAAAGAGAAAAACAAAGTGAAGATGCACGGGAATGGAGGTGTGGGGTGCAGTAAGAATAGCTTCAGTATTTAAATACAATGTTTATTTAAGCCTCAGCAATCTTCAGTGAATACGCATGCAACAAATACTAAAATCACATCACTGTTACCATCAAAATGATCCTATACACGCTCCAGAAAGTCTCTATTCTTGTCCTAGAGGTTCAACGTAAAATACTTTATAAGTAATAGGTGCGCTAGAGGAGGGTGGCGAGCAAAATCATTCAGAAAACAAGCTGGGACCTATTGTTGTCACCTGTGCTTGAGCAGGCAGGCAGAGAAAGGAGAAGCTGAACTGAACAAAGCGACTCCACTCCAGGCAGAGAGACGCACGCATCGAGCAGCTCCTACCGCCTGTTAAAGCTGTCATTTTCAACCGGAGCAACCGCCTCGCTCCGGGCTGGGCACGGCCGGAGGCCGCCCCGTCTCGCCCTCGTTTTGACGGCGGCGCTTCCTCCCTCGGGACCCGGGGGCTACCAAGCGCCCAGGGGCGTTTGCCCCGCCCCCGCCCCGGGGAGCTCCCTCGGCCACCCTGTCCCCGCCGAGCGCCCCGGGGCGGCGGGGCCACGGACCCCCCCGCCCCCTCCCGACGCGCCTCAGCCCCACGCCCACAGCCCAAGTGCGGCGGGTCCCGGGAAGGCGGGGGGGGGTTCGGCCCCTCTCGCCTACCGACCCCTCCCCTCTGGCCGCCTCCTCCTCGGCCCCGCGGCGGAGGAGGGGAGGGACGGGAGCAAGAGGAAGGGCACCGACACCCCCGTAACTCACCAGCTGCTCGACGGCGGCAGAGCCTCTTCCCCTTCCGCCATAGCTGTTGACGTACCTCCCCGCTCGGCCGTAAAGCGCGGTCGGGTGGTGGTTTTCTTTTTTCCCGACACCCCTCCTTCGACACGCACCGGCTCCCATCCCCGCCTCTCCCGTGCTGTCGTGAAGTGAGGGTGCCCGCCGCAAAGCGCGGAAGCCTGGCAAGGGAGAAGGGCGGTGCCTTCCTGAGGAGAAAAGGCGGGAGCCGGGGTGAGGCGGGGTTTGTTGCCGCGCCCTCACGGCGTTCACCTGAGCCAGCGCCGGGCTCCCTGCGGGGAAGCGGGGCGTGAGCAGGTCCTCAGCAGTGACCGGAGAGAGGCTGCGGTTACGGGGCTCTCCCCCGGGGAGCGGGAGCTGCCCCGCCGCGGGCTGGGACGGGCTGACAGAGACCCGCCGCTGCTGCGGGCTGCGTCCGGCTGCCTGCCCCCTCCTGTGGTGTTTCGGGTCGGGTGGTGGGGGAAGGCCCTACCGCCGGTTCAGGTCACCAACAGCTGCAGATACCTTCCTCTAGAAGACTTAGGAATCGGTTTCCCCGCCCGGCAGGGAAGCCATTCTGTGAAAAATTTGAATATTTTCGGTTTTCATCAAGGTGAACTAATTTGCTATGTATAGGTTTGGATATTAAGTGACTTCCACTACAGTCAATATTTTGCCAGGCTATACTCCACAAGTCGGAGATAAAATTCACCAGTTTTACACAGAACCCTGTTTCCAAGGGCTAAAAATCATCTGGTAATGTTCGTCAGTAACACTATGTAGAACAACGCTAAAGCTCTCGATCACGCACATTCCTTACCCGTCTACACCCTCAGAGGAAAAAAAAAAAATAGTATACTTCTATGAAAGGTAGGAAAAATGATTCAAGTAATTTGTACGTGGATTGACAGTGCCACCTTATGATGAATTCATGTCCTTACACTCGTCTGTTTTACTTCCACAGCTGGCTTCGGGGTGTGCTGCGGCGTGCAAGTGCCCGGGCTTGAGGCGGGACTGCTCCTGTGAAGACAGACAGACGCTGGCTTAACTGTGGGCAGGATCCCGTTCCCAGGGAGTCAGTAACGTTCCTCCAAAGGTAACACGCAATGTTTTCCCATACGTATCTGTTTTTCAGAAAAGATTATATGAATAAGCTTAATCAAGAAAGTAGATATTTTACAGCATCAAACCAGATTCAGACAATTAAAAAAAATGAATATTGTGAAGGAGAGGGTAATATTTTAAATTCCTTTCCTCTTTTTCCCTACTTCATCTATATTTTTCATTAAAAAAAAACCACTTCATCTATATGTTTCACTAAAAAAAACCCCAAAACAATAAAAAAGCCAACAAAAAAACCCGATGCCTTTTAAACACCTACTTTTATTACTTAGGAAAAGGTTTTGTAGGCTGTTCACGAGGCACCGTTTCCCGCGGGCCGCCTGGAAG